TATGTCGTGCGAGACAATGACACCAAAACGGCAGGGAGTATGGTGGGGACCAGCATCCTACCCACGAGCTTGTATTGAACATTGCAACCCGAATCACCTCATCTCACTTTATAAACTTCAAATCTGCGGAAAAGGTCATCCTGTTCCGCGCTTGAGTGTTAAAAACGAAGTAACCAGAAAGGGTGAAACTATCGGAAAAGTAATTCGATTTCTTAGGGAGGGTGTTTGAGAGAGTTTTGTCTTTCGTCCTTCCAGAAAAGAACAAGATCCAAGTGCTCCTTTGCAGTTTAACAATCAAAGTGGAGACCAGATGTGAGCGCATTTGATTAGGTAGAACGGAGAACGACCAGGGCGGTCAATGGTTTACTTTGCCTCTTAAGCAACTTTAGACAGAAAGTTGCAAAAGTACCTAACAAATGGTAACGGCGTTTTCGTATGGATAGATCTGTACCAGATCAACTAAATGTGACGTGAGTTCCTGTAACCGTTAAAGGTAAAACTGTGGGCTTATTTAAATGCAACTAAAAGTTATTTCTTTGGCATTGTTAGTCATGGGACACCTTTCCCTAACCTACTGTTTCTCTTTTCACATTAACGCTATTTTAGTATTGACCCGATGATGTATCGGTCCATCCATATCCTATAATATCGCATATATCCGTTGCGAACTACGAAAATGAGCAGTTTCGCAACGGTTTACCCTGGAGACATTCAAAAATAATCCGTTACAATTGTCTCCATAAGAACTTTCCGATACATCCCTGAATATTTATTTTTTGACATGTTAGCTTGCAATTCTAAGGATCTCAATCTGGATATTTGAATAAACGTGTAAGCTTCGATGTTCAGGTTCGTAATAACCCTTAATTTCATTCGGATGTCTGGTCTGTGCTCATTCAGCTGTAGCTAGTTATGCTAAGCATCTAATCACTGGGTAATAAGCCAATCGAGTTCACTGGCACTTCGTTGGGTTTTTGGGAACGAGGTGCCAACCTAGACAACTATCTGCTTGGTTACCGCCCGGCTGATGCCATCAAAACGGATTATGAGGGGAAGTTCGCAATCGAAATCATACACATGAAACGCAAGTCCGCTCATATTGTACGAATTGACAACAGGCACCCTATGCTCGAAGTCAACTAGCAAGCATAATCCACTGTGGTTACAGGTGAATTGTAGGGTTTCCAGAGCTTCAAACCAGTTGCGTGACATCCACCAAACAACAGCTGTGTAATGGAATGTGTATGGGCCGTGGTGTGTACCAGATTAAGACCTTCCTGTTCAATCCCAAATGGCACAGCTCACAGATGTCCTTGTGATTGCCGGACCAAACTCTACTATGTCAGGCAGATAGATGAAACCCATAATTAGGCTACCATGAGAGCGTTACTGTGTGATGAGTCACGAGTTTACGGGCATTAAGCCGATTACCATTTCTGTTAGTAACCAACTAGTATCGGCTAGAACAAGTACTTTTAAAAATCAACAGCGCGATAGATGTGCGTCATCCGGGAACAGGAACAGAAAGCGTGGTTTCACTCGATAGCGTTACATCAGATGGAAATACCGAATCAGACAAGCAGGATAAAACGTGGGGACAGAGTTCAACCAACTTTTTCCTTTCGCGAAGCAGGACGATTACATCCCAGTACTTCCAATTTATTCCACCGCAGCTGAGCAAATCAAGATTGGTACAACCGATCAGCATCTCCCATCGGATGTGCGTTGAACTGGAGGTATCCCGACTTATTGATTAACTTTTTAGAAATACCAGGTATCAATGGACGCACGGAAAGGCTGAATGGTTGGTATTGTAAAAACCCATGTTGCCACGTAGCACGTCGTTATATATTTTTGTTACCTTAAGTAAATGGGCAAACGTCCTGGAGAAATAGCAACTACGGACGATACAAATCGAAGTAATCAAAACAGTTGACTTAAGATCGCACTTCTGATACACACAAATGGTAAAAGTCCTAGAAGCGAAAAGTCCATGGTTATGGTTGCACATCTCAGAAAGCCATTTGAAAACTATTTTCCGTTCACATAGTGCGTGACGTCCATATGCAACTAGGTTCGGTTACTGCCGCGTAATTTCCACATTATTCCAACGAGCAGAAGGGTAAACTATCCGAGGTCCAGTGCACTATGCCTCGTGGTGACCATCGCGAACGTTGAGCAGCACGCTCGATTGCTTCACCTGTAGTTAAGTCGATGGATGGCAGTACGCATAATCTCTCTAACAGACTTTTCAAAGAGCTCACAAGAATTACGAAAGGACGCAGGTGAACTGCATTCAAGGTGGATCTGCCTTATTCCCCCACACTCATACACTTACGACATACGTACTTATAAATTGTTATCTTCTGTGCCTCATTTTCGAAGCCCCACACGACCAACAGAAGTGTAATTTGCATAAAACAGTCCATCTTACAAAGCTCCCTCTGTCTAGCGCCCACCCCTGATGACAGTCTTGACCTCATAATCTCAGTGAAAAATCATCCTTAGATGGGGCAAACAGCGTCTGTTCCCACCGTTGTGCGGATCGGAGAAATAAACGCATTCGTCACACGTCGAGGCAGCCCCTCACAGGTGGGACACTTGTCATACCGAAGGCTCCACGCGTTACGTATGACCAGCTAATTATTCTGTCGTGTCACAGGTTCCACATAAGACATTCGACGTATTTACATCAGTTGTAGGGGTGGACGTTTTATTAGCCCAAAGCCACCAAGACTTGACAGTGGGACGCCTAAGTACATCAGCACCATCGATTAAACAGTAGGCGTGTCGTCCTTCACACCTACATCTCATAATAAGTAGACCAGGATGTTTTGAAGACAACGATGAACATTACCAAAACCTGGTACACGCACTGACCATCTGTGTTTGCCTGTCGCATTCTCAAACTATCACCAATGCCCTGCATCATCCGGTTACAGTGAGCATCTGATATTGCTTTTGGAACCGCATAAACCGTATATCAATTAGGCGTATGCTAGTCTTTTATGTTGCGCTTGTAAGTAAAAAGCAATTAGATGAGATTTATTAGTTCAGAAATTGCACCAGCCGAGAAAGCGTTGTACTTAGTTGCCCATAGATTTTATGACAAATATTTGTGCACTGATTGGAAGGAAGGGAAGTCTGCTGATGACTTCAAGGCTTACTAACTAAATGACACACGAGAGAAGTTACTCAGAGCCGCTGGTATTATTGATCACAGGACAGAGTTTGACAACGGAGAACCACTGTTCCTCATAAGAACATCCACTTGAACCGATAAATATGGTTTATCCTGAGACGAATATGTAAAGCGGCATAGACGGCGTAAGAGCAGAAGCATGTCTACAGTGTCAAGACATTACAGTGACAAGCATTTATCTCATTTATCGATTGGAAGGTGTCTTATAAACGGATGCCTTGACGATGTGCTCTTGTGCAACATTTTACTAACCGAGAGGGCAGGAAATTAATAACGAAAATACCGGCGATCAGGCTGTACAAACCAGATAGAGATACACATCCCATTTTTGTCCACCTGCGAAGTCGCTCTCAACGCTGTGAAACCTTCAACTACTGCTTTTTGTGCTAGCTATTTATGAGGGTTCACCACCAGCCTAACATTTGTGCCGGAATTACTGCACGGCGATATTCCGTTGCGTCTGTTTACCTTAGAATAATGTTGGCAAATCATATTTTAATCCAGATATAATGGAATTCTTACGGTTTTGGAGAGCTCAATGGACGCACTCGCTACGTTAATTGATTAAGACGCGCAATCCTAATGTGCACCACAATTCGCAGGAAGTGAATCTGGATCAGTTCGGCCACTGAGACCGTAACTGAAAATAGATCAGTCTCGTGGCAAGTGTTACCAGCAACGACTCAGTGGCTTAGGGACACAGGTTGTGGTTGATGCCCCACAAATTCGACTATAATCCTCTTCTCTTTACCTGTGAAGTGCAAATTAGTGCCAAATCCGTCGTGGAGTGTACTGTCGCCAGGGGACAACCCCCAATATCCATCTCCTCGTCTGTTTGTTTTGAACTACCGGTTGTGTAGTTGGATTGTGCCAAGTTACCTTATTTTGGACTACAAGTCACTCGGAGGCAAACATCGGTCAATTCAGTCGCCGGCCCGACGTGTAAAGCAGCTAAGTGTTACCCGCCCCCCCCATCACATTTTACTGCGCGACATGTGTGTGCTTGTTTACCCCTTTCGGGTAGAGTTAGCCCAACTGGAACGCAAATGCTGACAGTGATAATCACCAGCAGAGATGTTTGCCGGCACAGCAACCAACCATAATCAAAGCTAGTAGCAACTGATAGGCGTTCGTTGTTGGTTTACCTGAAATCCCCCAACCTTGGTGGTGCAGTGGCATAGACGTCTGCTGGCAGTGTCCATCTTCCGAGCTCGAATTTCTCTTCTGTCATCCCTACCTATATGAAACCAGCCGTAAGCTACGGTGTTGTAAGCAGGCAGCACTTAAAATTGGAACAGAAATCAGTTTTTACTAACACGCAAATAGAATTCACCCACTTTCCCAATGAACACGGTTGAGAAGCACTACTATCAATAAACTGTGCTATCAGATCGATCATGTGTGCCACCCTTCCGCGATTCTCAGCAGTTTCTCTGCCCTCCTTCGTTTAGGCAAACATTCTTAGGTGGCTATCATTTGACCAGGTGAATGAATGTGGACCCAGGTGAACATTTAAATAGCGTCTAATCGACGGAACTTTTCGTTATTTGTAGATATTTACCGAATCCGAATTTTCGATTGCGCGGAGCCAAATGCAGTTTTCTGCTGCATCATGTGAATAGCTTGGGTGATGGCGCTGCACGAGGTCACTACGACAGTCGCGTTTGTGCCGTTCCTCTACCCCACTCCCGGTTGACCTATCCAATCGCTGTGGCATCCTCCGTTACTGAGGCCGCTGGACCAATCAGCGCGGTTATGAGTACCGGACCGCAATTCAGTCCAGTCAGTGTCCGCATGAGGACTGGAAGGGTTATTTAAATGATTTCTCCTGATCAATGCTCGTTGTTAACATCATCTCACGGGCTCACTAACGCGAAGCGACCATGGAAACAGTAAGTATGACAACTGAAGTATGGTGCATTTGCTGTAATGTGAAATCAGCGTAAACAATGTAGAATTCGACATACATTAAGTGTTTACAGAGGAATGCACAAATTTGACTAATAAAAGTTCGCCATGTCGTTGGTATAAGGCAGGGATCGTGACCGCATGATTTTTCGTTTACCATTTGATCCGATTTTGAAGCGCCACCGTGTTGAAAACCGGTAACGATAACCAACCCTTGGTGTAAGTAGACGGAGCACGGTTAGTTTAGGAGCAGTCTCAACCGCAGTAAACTAAGGCAAACTGTATCGTTCAAGATTTGGTTGGAAGCCCCCATGGACTGTCAGACAAGCCAGTACAGACGGTTGCTGTTTCGGTATATGTTATGTCGAGATAACGTAGGTCTTGTTCTGCCTGCACCGGTCGATGACTTAGTGACCAGATTAAGTCCCAAGCTCAGGTGGGTTGTTGACGCGCTACATCATAACATCGCACATCGGCCTTCCAGCAAACATCACACAAGTAGCGGGTTCGTTGTTTGCGCTTTAAAACAGTGCATTCGACACACATCGCGATTTTCAATGGCTATGATCAGTCAGCCACATTGCATAGGAGCCTTTTCGCGAAACTATACTGCCAGGCTTGAGCCCAACTATTATACGATTGTCTACCACCGGTCTCTACTGCGACAATTAAGGTAATGCACAACCGAGCAGAAAAATATATCCCCGTGTGTTTTGATACCAAGTGGTCGAGTATTCGTTTAGTGCATCACTGGATTACTGGAACACATGCATTTGCAACCAGTCAAAGTTCCTTCTCGCAGCCTGAAGCGGAATCAAGATGTCTGCTCATGTGCACTAACTAGCGTTGTTGACGTACGTGTCCAAAATCTTATTGTCGCAAACTGTGCGAGCATCACGCCTCCCTGTTGTGTTCCTTTTGTACTCATTCTTATAGCAGGAGCAAGTATTCGCCATCTGGCGTTTCTGGGTAGCCAAAATGAGTTTCGTATTTTATTTCCACCAGTTGAATCGAACCCCTTTGCTTCAACTGCATTGCCCGTGTTTGCGGTCAGTGAACAGTGGCAATAACTGCCATTCGCTAGGTGGAATAGCGAGTCGGTGGAAGAAACATTGTTCTCGTCACGTACTTACTAAACGGGCGATTTGTCTGCCCCACTGATGCTTGGCCGGGGTTATCAGCAGCGAGATCTTTTTCGATGCAAATTGACCTGCGAGTGATCGGTGAATGTGACTCGTCTAATCGGATCATATCTCTACTGCGCGCCTGCAGCAGGATTGGTTTGATCAGAAAATTGACAAATTCCATGCCTGCCAGTGCAATGTTGACTCGGAGGGTGGGGCGCGAACAGGGAATGATACTTTTTGTGCATTCAATCTTTGATGGGCTGATAAATAAGGCCAGGACTCTGTCCCCTGCTAGCAAAAAGGATTGAACAATGATCTGGACTGCATCCGGTGTACATACATACGGCTTTATTGTTTTCAATCCTTCTGAATCCATGACTTCCCAATCTGTGTCAATCATATCGTAAGATGTTGCACATTCAACTTTAGTTGCTCAGTAGCCTTTTCTGACCCCACTTCATACGATCAATGTTGTAGGGCGGGGGTACACGCTAATATGCTTGTAGCAACGTTAATTTTGACACCCTTAATGAACGGTTTTATGCCTTAATTATAGCCCGAACTTTAGTTATCCAGGCATCGACCAAATAACAGAATGCGCATAATTTTTGATCTTTGTTCAATTCATCTATCTAATACTATTAACTTACACTTAATGCATTCCAATTTTGTCGATTCTAGGCAGTACCAAAACGCTACCGGCGCAATTTACCAACTGACTTGCGGGCCACTGGTTCATTCCGCCTCACCGCCTTGGCAGACGCCACAAATGATGCAAGTTGGAGATTACCATCCCCTAGGATGGGCGCAGCCACTCTGCCATTTGTCCTGAGATCTACTGCAAATCACGAGGACAGGACTCAAAGTACTCGCCATCGAACGTACCATTTGTCAACTGTGCAAGCTGAGCACACCTCTAACACAAGTGCTGCACACGGGCGTATGGTGGATTTGCCACAATTCAGATGTATTCGGAAAAGGACGACTTCGATAGAAATGAGACACTCCACGAAAAACTCACGATTCTGTGCCAAATCCGCAGTGCGGCAGCCAGTGAAAGCAGTTCATTCCGAGACCGCACGTGATTCTGGGTACGTATCTTTGTGTCATTGCTCCAGTTTACTTCCAAAAGTAGATGATGATGATTCATCGACACGGAAACTACTACAGGTTTCAGTATGCTAGGTGGTCATCGTGGTAAAAGTAAGAACCGGCTTTACCCGTGTCCACTTCTGCATGCAGGTTAGGTGAACAACACAGCTGAGTTGTGCCACCACATCCCCCCAACGTCAGATCAATACAGTTGCATGCTGCGATCTCCCAGCCCTAAAAAACCACTGTACTACATGGACTTATATTACGTAGACCAATACATCTAGCTTGGTTAGACTATTAGACATATTTCTTCATTCTGCTGAAATGAGATTCGTACATGCGACATGTTGAATGGATCTCGGTTTAAAGCACACCGGGTTATGTGATCAAGGTAGAATGGGGAGCAATTGTGCTACGGTCGAGGCAAACGAATGGTTGCACAACGTTATTGTGATGTGCCTATCATGTTCAAACTTGACCTCATATAGTGCTGAGATTAAGATGGATTGCTCCGAAATGCTTTTCCATTCTGGAGGGTCTAGCACAGAGATATCCGCCGAGGTTGTACCACCCCCTAAGCTGCTTGTACGCTGTGTTCAATCAACCTGTACCAGTTTCATAAGACGAAAGATAGGGACGAAACCAGGAGTTTTGAACTGAGGCACAGCTACATTGAGTTTACTTGCAATTGCTCCGGCATAGTACGTCAGCTCATTTTCTCGGGCGGTTTCAGCCATCGCAGCCGATGCTTTATTCTATTGCGTTGGCCACGACGAATGAGTCCAAATGTTGGAGCAACAGTTTTTTTGAAGGGAATGTTTCTTACAGTGAGGTGAATAGTACCAGTTGCTATTCAGAGTTATTAGAAATATCTGCTCTCTTAGATCTGAATACTCACCCTCCACAGGTGCATAAAACACTTAAAATTACGACGCACTATCCATGTCAAGTGTGAGACGCACAATGTACGTTCACCAGTGTATAGTCCATGCTGATTTTCGGCGCAGTCAGGTGATATTATTAATCCTTACCAGACTACATAACCCTCGCGTCTGCTGGCTACTGCAATGTTCACTCATATATCATGTTGACCCTAGGAAGGGGCGTACCGATTCCAATTGAATGCTTGTTGCTTTTTGCGTTATGACTCAGGTGACCGCATTATACCCTCAATGAAACGATTTGTACGAATGCACTCTGATATTTCCTTTCAAACAGATCACAAATAGCGAACCCAACTTGTGGCCAAACATCACTAGTGCCTCTAACAGAAGCGCATCTTATCACTAACGAAATATCTACCGGTCATGCTCGACTGGGTATCGTAACCAACCCCTACGTCCGTCGGAGATATAGTGCAGGTAGCTACAATGGGTTACGGTTTGCTGAAGGTAAGTCCATGAATCCCTTTCTGATAATGTTATTTCTGTCAGCTAAGCTTTCGAGTACACCTACAGATGAATCATTGGCTGCGGATTCATCTTTTCAGACAGCGCCTCAAGTTCGAGAACATAATCCGGGTGAAAGTTACACGTGCGTTTTTACTAATTGAGTGTCGTATATGCCCCATTCACACACCATTATTTTGTGCGCTTCTTCCCTTCTGGATTTCGGTTACTATTTTCTACTGAACATATGAGCATACCATCTTAAGTACAACCACTGTGTAGCGCAAACTTGTACAAACCATCAGGATACCAGGCGATTGGTCTCTTATCAAGTCTACAGTCAACTTGACGTTCCCTTAATGCTTCACGAACGAGGCTTAGTAGCTGACAGTCTGATAGTCATACAGTTCAGCAGTAGCTCGGTCAGATGCAGTGTGAATATCAAATGCCCGTTTGTCTTAGAGGTTATGAATTATGGAATGTAAAAGTACATTGCTAACTACATCTAACGACTGTCGTATCAACCCTAATGTTGAATACTCCATGACCCGTCAAGCGCAAACTCAGGAAACCCGCGATGAGCGCGAATCGTTGTTTAGCGATTTCGTTTATAATCACTTTTACTATGGAGGTATCCTTGACTAAATGTATGTATATACCCCTTTAGAGTAAAAGTATGTTGTTTGTTTTTCAGGACCCCCTGCATGACACAACCCATGGAAAGTTATGTGGCATCCCAAGGAAGCATACTGGTTAACTTAAAATCAACTAACTACCTGCAACCCAGTCCACAGAGCGACAAATGCTATCTGGCAAACAGACGAAACGAGAGACACAGCGTGGGGACAACGCAGAATGCACACAATTCCGATATGGCTACAGGTTTCCACCCAATTGCCAAACGTCGAAGCTCAGGTTTTTTAAATGGCATCCAAAAGTCTACCAGACATACTCTGAACACCTTGAAAAAGGCGCTTGGTATTTCTGCCAGCGGGAATCCAGCGTCAGCGAAAGCAGAGAAATCCGTTTCGTCATCTGTTGATCTCCCATGTGAGGACGGACAAACCGGACCCAAGCCAAAACACTTTGACTCACCCATTGCCGACGTCAGTCAGAACACGACTCACGCCAAAACGGTGGTTATGACCAGGCATTCACCTAGCCAGCCATTCGGCTTATTCGTAACCAAACACGAGACAGGTGAGATCCGAGACTGTGCGCTTCGTCATTTTCTCCTTTGACCACTGTGCTTTGATACCTTGTGCACATTTATTGACACAATGACGCATGCCCACCCTGTAGTTCATTGCTGAAACATTTACTTATAAACATCGCACTGATACTTTCCACAGGTTTCTACGTTTCTCGCTTATCCGAACAGTTCCTCTCAGTTCCCAATCCACCCATCAACTGCGGTGATCAGCTGCTGAAAGTCGGAGGAGTGTCATGCTCGGAACTGACTATTACAGAACTGCAGCCATTGTTCAGTCAACACACGTCGGTAGTTCTGACACTGAAACCCCCGGAAGATAAATTCTGACGTCCAACATGAGTGCACAGAATCTCAGATGCTTTCAAGTACTTATAATTTTACTACAGCTGTATTTTTCCTCAGTTCTTATTACTTGTAATAAATGCCATCTACCGCATGATGTGAATCCCGTGGCTAGTTGTTATGACGAGGGTTAAGCGAAACTGGGATCTCACAGAAGGTTTGATCATTATCACTACGTTTTGAATGACGGCATGGTGAGTGTCAAAGGTACAAACTCACTTTGGGGTTAAAAATAAAAATGATTTCCCTACCTCCGAAAACCAATCATTCATTGGAACGGTCTGTCTGAAGTACTCGTTGTGTGAATGGTTCGCAATGCGTACCTTCAATGTGGACCGTGATTCGCAATGAAGCGAACCTTGGTCAATTGGATCACAGAGAGCGTGTCTGAAGGAGATGGATACCGAGTGTTTCCTGTTGGGAAATAGTGCATTCCATCACCCTTTTCTAACTTTTCTTATCTCGTCAGGTAGACATAGTAGGCAGTCAAACACAGAGCTTTGGGATGTCAGCCGGAACCTGTACCCCTAAGTCACCGAATCGCAGTGGGCGACACTTGTCCCACCCTAGTGGTGGAAGCCAATTTAAAAAGGATAATTCTAATGGTACCGAAAAACCATCCGGATAAAAGAACGGATCGTATTGAGACATACAACATTTGCAAGCGTGCAGGAATGTTTACAGTTGAAGTATTGCAGGAATGCAATAGAGAAGAATTTGTGAATATCCTCCTTTGGAATTTGAACCGTCATTTTCTATCGGTTCACCGGCATTCCCGACTGTATGGTTCCGATGCAGGTCGAGGGAGAATAATAAGTTTGGGCTCACGAAAGTGGGAACAAATGGAGCCACAGGAGCAAGCTAGTTGTCAGTAGCAGGAAGCCTATACTTGGAACAATTTTACTCAGATGAGAAAAAAGAGAAAACTAGGGTAACTATATCATTGTAGCCCCATATGAGTCTTCAAACCTACAGCTGCACTAGCCGAATAATGTAAATAAGTATGCACAGACGGTCGGAGTTACGCCAAGGTGATCTGATCGCGCAAGATGGAACGGGCAGAAGAACTGAAGCTTAACAGATCCTGTTAGATGTTCTGGATGAATATTGTAAAATATGATAACGATGTCTGCAAATTAACTGCACACTGGCTGAATCACGGAGGTATATGTATTAAAAACTGTAAATCCACTGCAAGTCCATGAAAAATGATCACAAAGGCGACATTTGTGAAAACCTTGTCACCTGTTGATCAAGTACAGGTGAGAAAAGGTGTTGCAGAATGTCAGAGACGTGTGAGCTCAGGGGATTTTCTATCACCTTTCACTAGCAGATGGAGATTTATGGCTTGCGTGGCGGAGTAACAGGAAACGTAATGTTAACAAGGGAGAGATACAGCGTTTAGTTTGGCTTCTTCATGCAAAATGCGCTTGTCTGCATGACATAAACGGGCAAAATGTGCAATGTGTTGCGGCGTATGAGAGATAGGATGTATACTGTGACTTTCCTTCTAATCTTCATCTGTAGTTGGAGCTGTTAGGTTGGCTCCACAGAGTAGATAAAAGGGCAACCCTAATGTGAGGTAAACACATAGTGATTCGGTTGGCTACCCTATTTAGAACGCACTTGAAAATGCACTGTCAGGTTGGCATGACCGAGCGTAACATGGGAAACAAACGGAATATGTGAGAAGTAACAGAAGCATGGTTAATTTTTTCCTCACATTCTGCTTTGCACTTCCGAGTAGAACCAAATGTATGCTGAGATGGGTCTAATGAACAATGAACCATGATTTATCACGGGTAAAAAAGCATGTGCTTGACAAGTCCCGTAGGATGGTTGGAGTAAAAATTAAAATTTGTAGGATCATCGATTAAGTAACTCGTTATTTCAAGCGTCCAAAGAGTTAAATGCACTACCGCATAACAATAGTTTGCAGTGGGAATGGGATGTGCACACTTAAAATAATATAGAGAGCTTTTATAGTTCAGTAAGTGCGTGAGAAATAAAACAGTAACGACAACGCTCAATCGTTTGTTTCTTCATTTGACAGATGTGATAGGTTCATCCAGTTTAGCTCCATCCAGGTTAATCACACCAACACTTCTGCATGTATCCTCACTGCCAAGTTGGGGAGAGGGCCGTTAAGCACATGATTATGTTTGAGTTGTTCCGTCCTCCAAGTGGAACGGATTACATCAAATGCAATTTTGAAAGCCCTTCATCAAGACGTTTTTTGTAAAGCGTTAATGTAGGGGCAAGGATAACGTGAGTCGGAAGGTCATTCTAGGCAGGGGACACACGGAGGGAGAAAACGTTGCGTCGACAATCAAGTCGACTGTACTGCGTAGCCAGTTTGAGCTGATGACCTCTCAGGTTGGTATTTTGGCTCAGTTGCAAAAGATTGCGACATGGGTGATTTGGGTTCGTCAATACTAACTAAACCAGGATTAGGTCTCCTCGCTGACGTCAATGTTCACCACTATGGAACAATGGAACAGTGGTTTATTACGGGTAAAAAAGCGTTGCATAACAAGTACCGTAGGATGGAAATTAGTGTGAAAATCGATTGCATGATAAAATGAACAGCGTTGTGTTGGACTCACCATAGACTTACGTATAATAGCGGATATGTTCGCGTATTAAACATATAAATCCATAAATTCATTGGTTAGGCGTTTGGCAAGACACCGTTTCATTGCGTTTTGTAGCCCCTGGCTAACATAAAATGAAATGTAACTGAGACAATGCATCGTCAATCCGTTTTTTAAATATCTCCAGATTGGGAGCAGAGACGACATAATTAGGGAGGGCATTCCAAGGCTGGCACACGCGGAGAGAAAAGAAATTTCTACAGCATTCAAGCCGGCAAACTGAATTGTCAGTTTAAGAGGGTGACCTCTTAGTTGAGTGTTGTGGTTCAATTCCAACAGCGGACGACAAATGTGGTTTGGGTTCTTCAGAATCTGGTAAACCATTATGAGATCCCCTCCCAGAAGCCGATATTGACTGCTGTAGATTCTTAGAGATTTCAATCTAAGCTGTTAGGGCAGATGAAAGAGGCCCCTGACATTCTTGGTTGCCCTCCGTTGAGGAGTCTCGAAAGCAACGAGATCCTGTTTCTGCCACGACTGCCACACCTGAATAGCATATTCCACGTGAGGTCGCACGTAGGCGTTAAGCATTTGGGGAAATATTGAGGGTTCAAACCGACCGAAGGCTCTGCGAAGAAGGCCGAAGTGTTTACTTCCGCTTCTCTTAGCCTGCTCTGCTTGTTTTGAACACCCGAGATCTTTCTGCACCAATACACCAAGGTCACGCTCCTGAGCAACCTTCGCCAAGGTGTGGTCTCCAATCTTGTAAGCGCTCACCGGTTGGTGACGCAGATGCATCACTTTGCACTTAGCTATGTTCAATTGAAGCTTGTTCCTCTTTGACCATTCGTAAATGCAATCTAGGTCATGTTGGAGCAGATCCTGATCTGCCTTGTTACCGATCGCCCGCCATATCTTGACATCATCGGCGAAAAGCAGGAAATTTGAGGAGATGACCCTTGCCAGGTCATTGATAAACACTAGGAATAAGCGCGGTCCTAGCACTGAGCCTTGCGGGACACCACATTCCACCTCAATTGGGTTAGAAAGTGATCCCCTAACACGTACTTGAAGCTTTCGTTGGTAAAGGAAGTTGCCAATCCAACCAAGTACAGGATCTCCGATTCCGTAACTTTGTAGTCTTTGAAGTAGGATGCGGTGATCAAGGCGGTCGAAAGCTTTGGAGAAGTCCAGATAGATGACATCGACTCCGACCCCATACAATCTCAGGGACTGAAGTCTGTTTTGGTAGGAGAGATGGAACAATCCTCTAACGAGTTTGGTCGCTCTACGTTGCGGAGCTTCAAGTGCGTCAACGTGGCGCTTGCTCCAGGTACGCCAGGAATGGATCGCTTATTCCACTTGAGGCCTCACGTAGCTGTTCAGCATTTGCAGAAAGATTGATGGCTCAAAACTGTCGAAAGCCCTCCGTAAGAGTTCAAGATGTTGATTGGCTCTTTTAGAAACCTTTTCACCCTGTCTCGAGCAACCAAAGTCGTCCTGCACGATGACTCCCATGGTCGTTTTCTTGGGAAGCACGTTGTAACTGCTGGTCCCCAAGTCGATATTCATAGATAAACTGATGACATGCTTACGACTTTGCACTTGGTCACGTTGAACTGGAGCCCGTTGTCGGATGACCACGCATAAACCCTGTCGAGATCGCTCTGCAATGCCATGTGATCATCCGTTGTCCTGATATCATGCCAAATTTTATTATCATCTGCAAATAGTAAGAAAATAGACTGCAGTACACTGGCAAGATCGTTAATGAATGTGCGGAATAAACGGGACCCGGGTACTGATCCTTGAGGTACGCCACGCTGGACGTCAATTGGGTCGGAAATGGAGCTGCGGACTCTCACGTGCAGCTGACTTTGAGCGAAGAAGTTGCCGTTGCAACCGAGTGAAGGGTTACCGACTCCATAGTTTCGAAGGTTGTGCAGGAGAATGCGGTGGTCCGAACGATCGAATGCTTTCGAGAAGTTCAGGTAGACAAGATCGACTGCCACTCTGGCATTGGCTGACTCTGTCCAGCTTGCTCAGGCTAGAAGCAAGTTTGTAGTGCAGGATCGATTTCAGCGGAATCCATGTTGCTGTGATACTAGGATGTTGTTGCTCTCAAGATTTCCCATGATTGCCTCTGCACGTATACGTTGCATTACTTTGGATAAAACTGGGAGGAGAGTGATTGGACGGTAGTTCGAGGGATCCGCACGATTACCACTTTTGTAATTAGGAGTGACTGCTTCATGTTTCCACATTGTCTGAACCTGCATTTCTTCGAGACAACGTTGAAAGAACCGACCTAATATTTCGGCAAGGTTCATGACTGCTGTCTTTAAGGTCTTCGGTTTGATGTCGTCCACGCGTAATGACATTAGCGTTTTC